GGCTTCGGAGAGTGCTTTTGAAATTTTTACACAGTTCGTTGTATTTCTGCGTTATAGCCGCCAGGTCGTTCCATATCTGTTCGATCAGTCGGTTTTTCTTATCCAGCAAAGCCTGAAAAGTGATAACACATTATTTTTTATGACTATAAGTTCAAACAACTCGTATAATAACATTGAATGAGAAAATTTAAAAAACGTAGGTATATATACTACTGACGTTTTTCTTTTTCTTAATTATGGTTCAGAAATTTAAAAGAGATAATTAAAAAAAACGGCTTAATTATTGGAAGGTATTATCATTTATTTTATAGTCTACTATTTATATTTTAGTATATGTATTTTCATTAAAATTTTGGACACCCCATGAAGAATCACCCAAAATACACCATTAAATATGATAGTTTGTAGATTAAAATTAACAAATATTGTAAAAAAATGTTTCAGTATACGTCATGACAACGCGTGTGCAGTGCAGGTGAATAGAAATATATTATTTTTTTTTTTTAAACCCAGAAAATTTTCATCATAGGTACATATAGGTAATATCTGAACTATGGCATGCTTAAAGTTCTCTCTTATTACTCCCCACCCTGCATACTGCGTTATTTTAAACAATAATTTAAAGAGCAGTTTACCTCTGTTTTTGCATTCATTGCCATCGCAATYGAAGTGTCCGCCGACGTGGCTCCAGTTAGACGGGCTATCTGTGCCTCTTTTTCCTCGACAGTTTCTTCCGATCGCTTCAATCGACGTTCGACTGCCAACAACTTTTTGCCGTGCTCCATCTGCAGATGCATCAATTTKTCAGAATACTCATCTTTCGCATTATCTAAATCGGTTTGCATCTAAACGTAGTCGAATATTTCATAATTATACATTCAAGTCATAAAYAGCCTTTTGGTGCCTCAAAATCTGAAAATTACCCACTTTTTCCGAAATCATTTTCAGCTCATCGTAATTCACTTGGAGGTCCTTGTACTTATCGATCGAATGTTTCAACCGCTTAGTAAGAACCTGTGTAAATAATATAACACGAACGAAAAATAATCTGTTGTTTTCCAACTGAAATGATGTTTTTMTAAAATCTAAAATATATAGTTTATATAGGTATTTGTTTATTGTTTAGGTATATCTTTAGTCGGAGATATAGCAATAGATACTGCAGGTTGCTTACAAATTTATCATTACACTAATGTAAAGTTTTTGACACAAAAATAACTTGTCGTACATTCGTACATATACATAAACTTATATATTTTTAGTTATTAAAAAAAAGGTTTAGTACTATAGACATACTCATTACATATTAGGTAATAATCATACGGTAAAGATAAAATTAAAATATAGTATTATTAGTACTTTTGTTGTTTTTTAGGATTAAGAATATTTACTGTTATCAATGATTGAATTAAAATCATGTTTTTCTATATATATATATACACACTGCGATTGTATGCATTAAACATGGCAAAAGCTGTACACTTAAAATCTAATATCAACATTCAACATGAGTAATTTTATAGTAAGCAAGAAATAAAATCAAAATCTCGACATATACTTACCAAATATACCTACACATAAAAAAATGTATTTGATTTGATTTTATGGAACTATAGAACAGCTATGATTAGTCTCAATTCATAAACTCTGGACAATTAGGTGAAATAATCAATTTTCATAACTAATTTTAAATTAAAATAACCAATATTATAATTCTTATCTTGTCAGTTGAATTCCATAAAAAAATATAGGTAATTTTTTATAAAAATCAAGAAAAAGTAATTGATATTATGATTTAGAGTTAGTTAAAAATGTTGTAATTTCTTATTTGTATATTAAATATGTTTTATATTCGGCTTTTTATGCTTGATTATAGTTATTTATTTTTAATTTTTAATATTCTGCATCAGGATTCTTTACATTAAGATAACCTGTCCTATTTTTTAATATAGTTACTACACAAATAGTAGAATGTATATAGTCGTAAATGGTATTGGCATCATTTCAGACGAGGGGCTTTATGTAAATAAATAAAAAAAATGGGATTAGTTCTTTTTTCAAATTTTGAAGGAAATTTGAAAAAAGAACTAATCCCATTTTTTTTATTTATTTTTAATTTTTAATATTCTGCATCAGGATTCTTTACATTAAGATAACCTGTCCTATTTTTTAATATAGTTACTACACAAATAGTAGAATGTATATAGTCGTAAATGGTATTGGCATCATTTCAGACGAGGGGCTTTATGTAAATAAATAAAAAAAATGGGATTAGTTCTTTTTTCAAATTTCCTTCACAATTTATTTTATAGAAAACCCCAAATATTGTATAATATTATAATTGTGATTAGTGATAATATTTTACAATCACTGCATATTATATACACAATTAATAAATAAGTAATATTATAAATAGTATAAATACTACAATATATTTTGAAAAATGTGTAAACTTATCACAATATACACAATATTTAGATAATATTAAGGCAGTATAGGCACCATAAACGGCATAAACAGTATAAGCYTACCGTTAATCGTTGTTTGTCCTTTAAGTAATTACACATTTTTTGCGTCAATTCCTCAACGGTAGTTTGAGCTTCTTTCAACGGTCCTTTTAACGATTCATTTTCTTTCGTTACTTCTTTCAGGTCCATTTCCGCTCTCTGCTGGTCTTCTTTTAATTCTAATAATTTTTCCTACAAGTCCACAGTCATCAATATATTTTGTCAGCTATTCAATAGAATATAACTTATAATAAGATATATTATATAAGTGCATGAAACTATTGAACCTTCAAACTGCCAATTAACGTCAAATTGTTGACAGTTATGTCATTGTAATGTTCTTTCAAGTTGTTGAACGCGTTGTTGTGGTCTTCTATGATTTCTGCTATGCGCTTGTTCTTCCTCGCCTCAGTCTCAGCCACTTCCACTTTGTTCTTCAAGTCCATACGATTCCTTAAGCCTTCCATACGTTTCTGGTACTTGCCTTCGATAACTTGACAGTCAGAAATAAATCTATCTTTTAGTTCTCGCATAACTCTGGCATGCTCCTACATATATAAAACGGAAACAAACTTAATTTTTTATGTCAATTGACGCAGTTTAAATAGATTATAAATTATTATTAGTTACCAATCGAATATTGTTAATTTCCTCTATGTGTCGTAAATTAATCTCGACGATTTCTTGTTTGAGTGCGTCGTTTTCTTTAATTAATTCTTYTTCTTCGTTTATATGTTCGTCATTAGCAATTTTCAACGAAACYATATTTTCAGCCTATTCATCTATACACTTATAGCACCTATATAAACGCGAAATAACATAAGACAAAAACAACYTACTTGTACTTCTGATAGATGCACATGCTGCTCATACATCAAAAGTTTTAACTTTTGTTTGTAAATTTTGATTTCTTCCTGGTGCTTTTCCTCTATATCTTCAATTTCTCTGTCTTTGTTCCTATTATAAACAATGTATAATAAATAAATTAAGTTTTAATATTATTTTAGATTTTGGCGGAGTAATGAATGTATTAATTTTACAATTATGTGTGATGTGTGCGTTTTTAAAATTTATAATTGTATCCGTGTACACGAATACACGATAAATAGTTAAAATAATGCTTCGACATTCAACTTCAGTATCTTTTCCAGCGGGAAAAGAAAACTATTTGGTATATCTAGAACGTAAAAATTGAAAATTCCTAGTAGCTTTAAAAAAAAGGCGGGAAAAGGTTGCCGGAAAGTAAAATTAATTTTTACGAGCGTTTGAAGTTAGACATTGGATAAATTCCATCCGCAAGTTATTCTCATACAACGATTTTTTTTTTTTAATCGTTATTTAAGAAAAAATATTATTCAAAGTAGGTACTTGACATTTTCAAAATATTTTGATTATTATAATATTTAATATTTAATAAAAGGTTGTTCATAAATAGTTATATAAATAGCATTTGAGAAATATTAAAGATCTATATTATATACAGGATTTTTTTTTTTCATATGTATTTTAAGTTCAAATTTTGACAACATTAATCAAAATTTCAAAAATGTTCAAATTATTTTGTAGTTTAAAAACAATAAAATGTTTAATTTTCATAATTAAAAATTGAAAATTAAAAANAAAACCAATAAAAAGAATTTTAATTATTTTATTGTAATTTAAAAATATTATTCATGGTACTTTGAGGGTTATTTAAAGTAAATTGTTGTATTTTATACACACAATGACTATTTCAAAATGGCAAAAATTAAATTACAACCTATTGTAGTAGGTACAATGCAGTATCTGCAGGCTTCTAGTAACTGACCTATARTAACTGCAAGGTATTTATAATTTTGGAATTATTCACTTGCCTCAATGACGCTCTGTTTTCCTCCAACTCATGTCTCGTGATTTCCCAAAACGTTAACACTTTRTCTCTTTCAAGTTGAAAAAAGTTCCTTTCTTCTCTCTCGCGTTCCAACTCTTTTTTCATTCTAGCTGCGAATCCTTCTAGCTGTTCTCTGGACATTTCAGCCATGGAAACACCATCCACAATCCCGGCACTTGTACGGCCGCCTTTGCTTCCTTTTGATTTCTTTTTTGGTGCCTTAAAATTATAAATTATAGATAAACACGGTTAAATAATAATAAACACGTGTTCTCAAAAAGTCATGTACTTACCATTTTTTTTTTTTTTAAATTGTAGTTTAAATAACACGTATTAATTTATAGCAAACGAATTAGGGTCTATCCATGAACGGAATCCTTATACGAATCCTTTATAAATTTAAATGTTGTTTATACATGGACCCCGTTCAAGAATAGGCCCCTTGGCCATTATAAGACTATAATATGTTTTATCATTAGATGTCCGTATACCATGTTACTACGACAACAAAACAGTTAATACGTCACAAGTTTCTTCAAATGCTCACAACATTATTGTAATCATTTAACAATCACAATAATATAATATATATAGGTACCTAGGTATAAATAAATCACAGTTTCTAAAATAAAACAGTTTATTTGTTTAGTCATTCTTGTTATGAGTAAATAAAATTAAGAAAATTAAACTACTAACTGTAGAAAAAAAAATAYTAAAATCAACAAACATTTTAAAAAACATCAAAAATAACATYAACTTAATTTAAAACAACAATTAACACTAAAAAGTTATACGGCGTGTTCATGCGAGTATCAAATAAGCGTTTTGTATATTTGTGCAGTTATATTAAAGTATTGACGTTGATTAAGTTTTATGAAGCTCGTAAACAGATAGGTAACCSGATAGAAATTTTTCTATTCTCATTCTTTGAACAAAATCCAACAGTAACATCTAGAAATTAAAATACATCAAATAATAAATGCATGTTCCATAATCCAGATTGAACTTTGATATTTAATTTAATTTACCTTTTTTTCTTCCGTGTTCACATTTAGACACTCGGCGAGTACGACGTATGTAAAAGAGTTCAAAGAATTAGGAGCCACTTTTTTTAAAAGCGAAATCCTTTGAAGTCCCAGGTCGTATGGAATGTGAAGATATATATGCCTWGCGCCTGTCCAATCCTTCCAGGATTCAATCATTACCTAAACATAAAATACAAGCATTATTAATTAATAATTTATGTAATATTTGATTAATACRAATTTCTATATTATATCTGTGTATGATAGTGTGATATATATTATTATAAAATAGAAATTAGTTCATTGTTGTGCAAACTAATAAAAGTACCTTCRATAAATACCTAACTCAATAATCAACAGTATAAAAATGTATTATAGTTACTAGTAGTATGTATTTGTATGTTCACAGCCAGCTTTTACGCGGTAAAAAAAATTGTTCAAGCSGAAATGTTCCACTCCTAGAACACCGATTTACCGCGTAACACAATACGGTGATTACACAAAATTGTCTGTCTATTTGCCCCTTGCACAAAAATATTCACCGCATCAACTATTTTTGATTAGATTTTCAGTTTTTTTTTTAATTTTTATGAAAAAAGTTTATTAAATAATTTGTGTTCTTTACTTGAAATATTATTTTTATAAAAATTAGTGATATTTGATTGAAAAATTAAAAAAAACTGAAAATCTAATAAAAAAATAGTTGATACGGTAAATATTTTTGTGCATGCCGCAAATAGATGGACAATTTTATGTAATCACCGTATTGTGTTATGCGGTAAGTCGGTGTTCTCGGAGCCGAACATTTCCACATGAACAATTTTTTTTACCGCGTAAAAGCTGGCTGTGAACATACAAATACATATACTACTGTTGCAACCTATTTCTGAATAATCATTGTATACCTATAACACAAAATATTATAAAAATGTTTTCACTTTTAGTTTTCTACCAATTAAATTTATGTTAAAACTGTAATTAATTTTAAGCAGGCCGATTATTTTCTTTCATGAAGGATTRATGAAAGCCATTAAATAATGTTTCATGTAATTATGAGCGCTGTACATTATAATGCCTAATAATTCTTAACATATCTTAGTCTTAAAAACTATTTGTTTCTTATTAGTTAAGACTGGTGATATTAAATTTTTTATAAAAATGCACAATGCTACAATAACAACTTGATTGTATATTCAACAAAAAGTGTTAATGAAAAATTAAATTTTGTCTCATGACCACTAAATAAGTGAAAAAAATTCAAAGRTGTAAACAGCACTCCTTTCGTTAAATAAAATAATAATGAATCACATTTTTATATCTAAACGTTACAACAAAACTGCATAAGGTATATGGTATATCACTGTTATGTTATTGCAAAATGYCCATGATATTTAAGGACCATGCGCCTATTAAAATAAAAAAATAATAATACTGTTTTAATGACCACCATAATGGATATTGGATGACTGAAATAATCCACACGTCTTTTGTATATAATTTGGCATTGATTTTTAAACAAATCATCCAAGTAATGTAGGTGCTAATGTATATTTAAACCATGATGGATTTACGCAATAAAAAAGTGTTCCGATAGTCATTGTCCAGTTTTTATACACATTTCATTATTAACTATCTACCTACAAGTTACAACATACAGTTAAATACAATATGTGCATTTCAATGCTAACCTCCACTAAACTAGTGTCGAGAAGTTTGAATCCGGATACTATGTAAGAGATGCTGGTTGAAGTCGTTACGAACGGCCCGTTTCCATCTTCACACTCAATACTTTTGATTTCTCGATAAACACCTGTAATATGCATATAATTATAATTTATAAAATATTTTTTCTATTAATTATTAAGTATTTCTATCCTATGCAATTATTGTAATTCACTGAAACGCRCGTCCACCGAAAGACTGCCGCAGTGAGGTTTAAAMTTAATACACTTAGTGTGAAAATCGTCGATGAAAAAACAACTCTTCTAAGATAAGATTATGGTGGCGGGTACCCAGTGTATGTAATAAAAATAAATATATGCAGGCTGTATAATTGACTTGCCTCTAGAGTTTATATTTACATTTTTTTTTTTATCTCGTACAAGCGACACATAGAATAAAAATGACAAGACCGTGAGAATGTGTGAATACTGAATACGTTCTTCTGCTCCGCGAAGATTTAAAGATATATGTTTGTTGAGATAAAATAAACTATACAACAATACGTTCTTTGAAATCAACTGGACACATACAAATATTATATGTAAACATTTATTSTGATTGACTATAAAAACGACTCATAAGTCCAAAAAGTACCTAACCTTCATCTAAACACGATAAAACCTATAATATATGTAGTTAGTATAAAATAATATAATTATATGTTACATTGCTACGCTGCAYGTATAAACGGGGTTTAAATATAAATTTGGTAATTTTTGATTAAATTTCTTGTAGAAAAACTGTTATTTGTAGTTTTATTTACAAAATTATTTGATTTATTTTTTAAAAAATGTTATCTTAAATTATTAGTAAAAATGTTAAATGAGAAATCAATTTGAGATGTTTTTTGGTTTTATGAAAACTATTAATTTTGACTTATTCTTTTTACCCAATCATTAAAGTAAACAGTAAGCACACTGATTTTTGGGATTTTATGTAGTTAATTTAATTTTCTATTATATTATATAGTACCTAGGTATAAACTTATTTCTATTAATTATATACATATACTCGTATATTTATAATATAATATAGWTAACATAATTAATATATATATATTTTTTATCTTAGAATTTATTAGCGTTTAATTTTTATATTCACAACTCCTCTCACCTTGATGTAATTTAAAATGCTCATTTACTTCGTTTTGATCTTGTAGCACCGACATTAACGAATTTCGATCCTCAGTAAAATGAATGATTGGATAGACAACTGAAAATAAAACGAAATGCTTGAAAAACATGTGGGTCAAAATATTAAAAAAAAAAAATTAGTATTACATACTATAATTACATATTAATATAACATTATAATACTGCAATATACATAGTATACTAACCATTTTTTTCCTTGCATTTCAACGCAGTCCCTTTTGTCAAATTGTCTTTTAATACTTCGGAAACGTCTTGTAGACGTTTTTCTGTAACTTGGGAACCATCTCTAACCGTTGCCGTTATGAAGGAAAACAGAATCAATGGCCTTCGGCAGTTTTCATTTCTTGATTCTGTATTATATAATTATATACAAGTAAATAATATAATATTACTGTAAATGCAAATTTTTTCATACTACGTGAAAGCGATAATTGTAAATCACTAATGGATATATTTTTGATTAAAAATAGATAATCTTTAAATTTAGTTTAAAATAAAATATCTCAGTAATAATCATTCAAAGAAAACAATTTAAAATAACGCCAAGTGCCGCCGAATAGAAAAGAGTATTATCAAAATTATTTAAAATGTTGAACCAACTGTTTTATTTTAACATTAATAGTGATCCTAAATAATATAACTGTCCCCCATAACTTAAACATATTGATAAGGTTAGTAAATTCAGTTGTTTTATTCAACATTTTAGTTGATATAAATTGAAAACGAAAGCGATACGTTGTATACGTTATACGTATATACGAGTAGTACAAACTACTAACTACAAATATTATATGAATTATGAATATACACTTAATTTTTATTTATTACACATAAAGAATTGATTTTTTAACATAGGATCCTCTAACTTAATCTTGAGGARTTATTTGAAATTCTAATCTTCTTTTATGTTAGATAAGATAAACAGGAAAAGCATCCATTTATTTAAAAAAAGAATTATTTACAAAGCAGCTTTTGTATCTAAAAGATCTTCCAYTCTCTATCAGTTATTAATTGAATAGTTCAAATTAAAAGCTTAAAATATCCGCCCGTATATATTATAAATGCAGGTATACCCTATTTTAATTTTATGTTCCACTATATTTATACGTCATTCTCGATTTTCATTTATGATTATATTATTATATTATAACAGTTATTTATTGAAAAATATACCAGTAGGTATCAGTATAGTACTAATATAAAATATGTATGATTTATAATATTAATTTAATTTTATGTAAAACTTATAGTTATTATGGTTGTATATGTATACTGTATAGTATGTCATCTTTACCAACAGCTAGCATTATATTTTGAGTTACAAACTGAATAAAATAGTTTTTTATACGTTTCACTAATAACTTTTTTACATGTAGTTCGTAAAACTGTACAGTGTATAGGATAAACTAATTGAACTAATAAATATAATTCATKTATTGATTGGRAAATGGTCCTGTTTRTTAGTTATAACAATATTTTAATAGTGCGTGGTTAGAAACAATTTATTATACCAATAAAATTAATTAATTTTGTGTAACTCCTTTTAATTTTTATTAATCTGATAAATTGATAGTGACCCAATTAGTATTTAGTATTTACTATATATTTAATATTTATCGAGTCAATAAACATTGTGCAACAAATTTGAAGTATATTGACATATTCTAATTATTTACTTTATATTTATAATTTTTCATTCCATCATATGAACGACATTCGATGATAATTTTGGTAACTAAGTGGTTAWACGTATTGCGTATTCCATCTATGTATAAAAATGCCATCTGGATTATCTCGGAGTAAATGCCTACCATTTATTTTTTGTTAAGCTATAATATATAAGAAAAATAACTTATTACTATAATAAATATTAATAATAACAAATAGGTATAT